TATAGTCAGGAGACAATTCTGCTATAAACTGGTAACGTAAAATTTAGATATGACAACGCGCTTTACTCTCAATCATTATTGGTTTTACTATAGTTGTCATTTTTCCTCTTCTCAAATTAGCACATTCGTAAATGAAATAATTCATCGTAATACCATATATAAAATCGATTTGCACGATTCGAAGTATTACAATATTATTTTATAATAAAATGATACCATCACATGATGGCATCACAGCATTGTTTACAATTGAGGTGGTGTTTTGTAATGATATACGTCTCGGCTACTTCTCACTTTCTTTTATACAGCTGAATATTGACGTAACTTGATCAGCTCCCATATATCACCGCCCTCTTGAAAGTAATCGATCTCAGGTGTACCGCTGGGAAGTATTTTAGGGCCCTTGATGTTTTCAGTGTTTATTTTTGATTACCCCACTTTCTTATCACATTGTCAAGTACTTCTATACGCAGATGATATACAGTTATATTTGTCTTCTCATAACACCGATAAGGAAAGTTGCGTGGCCAATATAACCACAGATTTGCACGAAACATTCCTATACTCGGAGTATCATGTACTGAAAATCAATCCAAATGAAACTTTGGCTTTATGCATAGGGTCTCAAAGACAAATAGTAGAAACTCAGTGTAACTTTAGGCTCACTCTCGATGACGCAGACATGGACTGGACAAACAGTGCTAAAAATCTTGGCGTAACCACAGATAGCTCTTTGTCTTTCCATGAATATGTCAGACATTTTCAAAGTATCATTCTTCAAACTCAAATCGCTATATACATATCAGAAGAAATGAAACTCGGGATAGTTAAAACTCTTATTTACCCACATATCGAGTATTGTTGTTCGGTGTATTACAATTTTTTGCCGCAATATAACAAGCAGAAGTTACAACGTATACAAAATGCGTGCATGCGATTCGTATGCTGTATACCATATGGCTTGTTCCCCACACCGTAGGGAACATTCCACCATTCCACCAAGGACTCCAATAATCAGAACAACCATCTTGACAGAGTAATCTGGATAGAGTCTGCGGATATCGAAGAGAAAATCTCGATATTTTATTTTTTCCTCCTCTTTTCTGACGATTTTTCTCGCCAGGAGCTGAACGCTACACGACAAATATCGTTTTGCTCTGGTGATCGAGGACTACATCAGGATTATTAGCTTGTATGAACCTGAGGGTCCTGAGGGTGACCTGAGAAAAGCGAACGTCAGGCGCTTTGATAAGCCAAGGTCTCCAATGTTATTGAAGAAGACCCCATGCATTGGCTTATCCTTGTGTTTCCGCAGAAGTAAGGTGCTCTCTGCGGCTTTTATCTGAGCTTTTTGCTGAACGGGTTCCAACTCTGTGACTGAGTTGTGGTCACCTCGTTCAGTGTCGAAAACTATAGAGTTCATCAGCTGCTCGGACAGCTGCCCTAAAGAAAAATGCTCCAATTCCTGATCTCATGGTCACGGACCATGCAGAGAAGGGGATCCGAACTCCTGACGACTTTACAGGTTGTATCCAGTACCATTCCGATATTATTATTATTTGTCGCACATAAACGTCCAAGTATATTCCGGTTCGCTCCGGCGTTGTTACCGGTGTAAACAAATTATATGGGGGAATCACGAAGTGATCGACATCTGGTTTCAGAATTCGGGCGTCAGAATCTATATCGAAATGTATTGCCTCCATAAAGAACATTCGTTGTAACATATATCGTACCAACTCTTCACAATGACCAATAAATCCAAAAGATGTTTAGTATGCTAGTGCGATAATTATGTATCAGAATTTTCATGCACAGTTTTCTCTACAGAATCGGAAAATCAGTTAACAAATTTACGTGTTTACATTCATAAACATAATTTTTATCAAAAAATACATAAAACACTCACGAATTTTTCAGTAAAAGAATGCCGGATGAAGTGGAGAAATTTGAGGGACCATTATATGAGGGGGCATTTAAAAAACGGAAACCGTCATATGCAGTGGACCTTCTACGAACCCCTATCATTCCTGGAAAAGATAAGAAACCATACTCAGATAAACGGAAGGTAAGTGACATCTTGAACCTGGTTTCCGGGAGTGGCATTTTTCAAAATAAAAGTATCTCTTTCTATAGAATATTTACCAAATGAATGTTATTTTCAATTTCTAATTCAGAAAGTGTGTATCTCAAAACTCGTGATTATAGTAAACTCTTATACACAGTAACTAAAAATAACTTTGAATATAATGTAAATGCATTGAGTTGTAAAACAAAAACATTTGTAATAACTCAGTGGTTTTGACAATACAAGAGATATAATATTTTGTTTGACACGGCCCACCTATTTATCAAATTAATCGAGTTCATCGACTGGGTAGTTGTATTCAATTCAAAAATTTCATTCGGATATCAGGGTCATGTGATTCAACTGATTCTTCTTGAAAAACAAGTAATATTTTTGAGCTTTAAGCGATATTTTTTCTAAAAATAGTCTGGAAAGTATATGGAAAAAATATACTCCTGGTTATTTCATTTGAATTGTTTTCAGTTTTACAGTTGTTTTCACTAAATAAAAGTTTGAAATTTAAAAAACCTTAAAACAACTTAGGTTTTGCAACGATTTTGCTCCAAATAATAAAAATTGTCATAATAATCCACATGAAATTGCTTACGAAGAAGTAAATATGAACGGAATATATTGATTTTTTTCTAAATGTAGGTATGCCTCATTTATCATAAATGGCAGAAATAGTTTCGTCTTAGATAAATGAAATTTGGTATGTGGTTATAAAATTGCAAAGAAACCACTTCTTAAAATGTGGATTCGGTGGAGAATTGTCCATTTTTATAGGCACTGACTAATAGTGAAAAGTGCTTGTGTTATGTTTGGTCTAACAAACCACAAAGTACAATTTACTATGGATCTATCATTTAAAAAAAATATCCATATGTTGCCGACTTTAATGGTGACACAGTCACTACAACAGTGAAGTTTATTTGTGAATGGTGTTCAAGATATAACCGGTTGGTATAGTCAATTTTGTTAGTTTTGACATTTGAAATTTGTTATATTTATATAAAAATGATAAATTTTGGTAGTGGAGATGAGTTTCTCTTCAATATTCCTCCTTATTTATATAATTATACAGAATACGTTACTTTATTTTTATGAAGTCCCATCCTCAGGATACGGGTATGCAATTTTCGACGCCACTGTTAAGGATTCAGTGCAGAGCATGTATGCTGCCATCTGACGGTCTTTAGCTATGAGATTTCAGTTCACTAGATGTTAGTTCTATGTGTATTCGTAGCGCTTTTATGATTTTTACTTTTTGCTGTGACGTATTATTATTTGTTTATTATTTATTTATTCTTCTATGATTTAGTGTCAAAACCTGAAAGCTAGCTATTTCTGTTAAAATGGTAGTTATTTACACTTATATATCTTGAAATATGTGAAGGTAAGTTTTTAAATGTTATTTTCCTAAAATGTATTGGTAAAGGTTTAAAATATAATGATCTCTGCAAACTATATTTTGAAGGTTAGAAAACATCTACAACAAATCGACATATAATTCTGGATAAGTTGTGTTTAGATATACAGAAAAAGTGTACTAGTAATTGAAATTTGGCTGTTGATGTTTTCTAACCTTCAAAATGTATTTTTTTAAATACATTCCCATTTTATGAGTTCACAATTTTCAATGGGAGTATTCATTTTATATACTTGTTATGCCCTTCTGAGAATTTCATCAGAATTGCAGAAATCACCTCTCAATAGATAATTATATTATTTTAGTTGTCTATATGCGTATAGGCTGTCAGAGCCATGTACGTGAAAAAATGTTTCGTTCCAAAATGCCCCAATACAAGTTTGGATTTAGATAAAATATTCATAAGAGTTCCAAAAATAATGGAGGTGAGAAAGAAATGGTGTGCTGCAGTCAAAAGGACGAATATTCCTTCTACAAGAACACCTGATGTATTTTGCTGTGAAGATCATTTTAATGTAAGTTGTAAAAGTAAAGTATGTTTCGAAGTGAAGATGAGATAAATGTGTACTTGAAAACATTTCCGAATGAAAGCTAAATTTAGTTAATAGGTACCTGACTCATTCAATATATTGTTGATTTTTCTCTGAAGATTTGCTGGAACGTTGATAAATTTCATTGATGTGATGATGAATTATCCAAATTACAAATTTACGTTTTTCAGATGGAGAAAGATTCTGAGAACTGGTTGGAACATAAAATGGTCAAAATGAGATTACGTATGAAAAAAAATTGTTTGCCACATCTTAATCTTACCTCTAATGAAAATATTAAAGACTCCAATTCATCAGAGTTAATTCTTGTTCCAAAAAAAGAGAAAGTTGAAATGGTAGAGGTTGCTGACAAAACTGATTGTGAGAATAGTTCTCCATCAACTCCATATAATTTTATGGGAACTGCTGCAAACATTTATCTTCCACCCACTTTGCGAGAAGAACCCAACGCATCACAAAGGGAAATTGGCATACAAGTAAATATCAAGAATCCAAGGAGATCGAAGAAAATTGGAACAAGGTCTGTACCTATGTCTCCAATCAAAGTTAAGATACAGGAAAATTAAACAAAAATAATAATAATCTTCGGAGGTGACAACGGAACCTGGGATGGAGTTCATGTTGTCAGAAGGCTCATCGACCTAGAATTCAATGTGAATACTGACTGTACCAATACTGTTGACATTAAACGTTATTTATCAATATTAAAAAAAATCTAGACTTTATTGGTATACTTTCTAAAGTATACCTTCTTAATTAATATATCAGTATCTGATTCTGTTCAATTCATTGTACCAAAAAAAATTTTGAATGACTTGCTTACATGACTGGATAAAGCAAGTTTTCAACAGTGGTAAATAATATGTATAAAATAATGATTTTAAATAAAACAAATACAAATTCAAAGTTGGTTCAAAATTGTGAAAATCTCTCATAGAGATAAATACTCTTCAAATTCATCTGTGGAATAAAAACATTCAGTTACATGCTCAATTCAGTATTCATTTAAAATCTATGCTAATTGCATGCATGCATTTTCCATATAAATAGCCTCACAAGAATCAGGGTAGTTGGTAGCAAATATCAGACATTTTTGACCGACCGATGGATTGTTGTTGCCATAACTATGTGGTAGGAAAGCATCGTGAAAAAAGAAGTAAAACTTTCTGTTATTTATATTGTTTGTATTGTATTGTTTATTATATTAGTATGAAAATGCCCTTACAGGACGAAACTGCAGTAATGTTATTTATAAATAAAAGCACCAAACTCTTACGAAGGTTCAAAATAGACGAACCCTTCAATCTAGCAGACCACTATTATAATCTGCATGCAGTCATTGTTCACTGTGGTTCTGGCGTTATTACGCCTTGGTCAAAGACGGAACGGACTGGTTGAAGTTTGACGACAGTTGTGTCACTAAGTGTTCTGGATATTTTTTTAATTTATTGGGGCCTCTGGAGACACCCTACATTTTGTTTTATGAGAGAGAGAGAGAGGAAATGGCAGATCAAGATCTTCGGATGATGAGTTGCTGCAGGTTTTTCCAGATTGCTAAATAAATAAAAGTGGTAAAAAACCATATAGTTTCATTTCTCATTTTTCACTTGTATGGTGCCTGGTCTAACTTGGCACCATATTATGATATTGTGGGAAAGATTTCAATAAGAAGTGTGAAGTATTGAAATGAAACTTGTAAAATCTGGCCAAATTATTTTGATGTCGAGATTTTGGCCTGAAGGTGCAAAATAAAAATGAATCTTTCTATACCAGGTACAGTTTCAAAAAAGATTATGCAATAGTTGAATGTTTGATACGGAAGGAGTATGTGAAATCATGAAATTGTAGTCGTGAATTTTTCAAAACACTACCAAAACAAAGTTAAAGTTTAAACTGAAAGGATATATTTTTGGGAAAGAAAGCCTTTGGCCTTCTACTACAAACGGAATAAAGAAAAACTCTATATTAGATATCTGTTTTTAAAAAAATCTGTTTAAAATCTGTTTTCCGTTAATCAGCTATCACAGGGGAAAATCGATTAGATCTCAATGCTAACGAAAAATTGAGTACGAAAATAACAAATAAAAAGGGAAACGGGATGATGCTTGAAGGTCACTCAAGAATCATGAATTGTAATTCACCCATGGAAAAAAATATAGGTTTTTATTTATACTTTTCAAATTTTTTTTCAGCTCCGGAACAACGGAACCCGACCAAAACGACGATGAAGACGACGTCTTTTCCGAAACGGAAGAAAAAAGCACCGACAGACCGAACATTTCCCACGACGCCCAAGACGATAGACTGGTCGTCACGACGGTTGTCGTAGAAGATCAGGACGAAACAAATGAAGACATCGACAAATTTATGCAAAATATAGCCGCCAGGCTGAAGAGATTACCGCAACATTCCATCGACTTGGCCAAAATGAATATTCTCGCTCAAGTAACAGAGCTTGAATTGGAACAATCCTGGACGATCTCAGCATCAGAACCTTATTCTTAACAAGACCTGATGTGATTTTTGTTTTTGATCATGAGCTCACAATATGTCAACTTGGTGGGTACCGAGTTATTCGGGTTGATGCAGCACGACAGAAAATATTTCAAACATGATAACGTAACAAAGGAATCATCTCGTCATTTGTATAAATAGTTCAATAAGATAACACAATGTGGTAAAAAACATTGTTTTTCCGTTAACCAACTGTCGTCCCTTTCTGAATGACGACCTTCAGAAGTTGTGCGAGCAACGGATTAACCAGGTCTTACTTTTTAAAGTGCGCCAACCCAACTGGCTACTGTCCCGCTACTGGAACAATCCTTCAACTTGTGTTGAGATTTCAACTGTGTGAGAATTTGAGGCTAGCATTGACTGGATGATAAACCATTTTTGATGACTAGATATAAGATATCCCACACCTGCAACCAATAGGCTAGTTCAAGGAAATAACTTGAACACTAATAAAGCCTTAAAGAAAATTGTAGAACAATAAAAACTATTTCGCTGTCGAATAAACCATTACTTTTTGTGTTAATTGAATACCTCTACAGCTGAAGTAGTGGCAAGACAAGAGATAGAATTTCAAGACTAGTAAAAACCCTTCTGACAAGGCATTCCATAACTTGGTTGGTGAAATGCTTGTTGTGAAGAAGGTAACATTTCTGGTATTTAGGAGCAGTTGAAATGGAAATGTATTCAGTGTCTCGGGAAAACGGATATATTGAAAAGAAATTTTTGTTTATGTGAAGTTAATGTAAGATGAGAAATAACCTTACTGAAAATTGGTATTTGGATTGCCTCCTGTCTGAAAATTCCATTATTTGCTCCTGACAAATAATACATTGTTCCAGAATTGAAAACATTTAAGTTTTTCAATGAATATGAAGCCGTTTTTAATTCTCGAGCTGTTCAAGAAATTTAAAGTCTGAAGCAGCACGTAGAATGAAAATAATAATTTGAAGACTTCTCAAAGAAAATAGTTTTGCTATTTTGAGATCATAGAGAGTTTCACCAATTGACAAAGACATAATTTTCCACCATTTACTAGTCTGTGACCATATCTATATAATTTTGTTACAAAACAGGTTGATATGATTGATGTCTTTGTTGAAAATATTTTCTGTTCATTATGGTGCAGTTGATTCGTTATTTGAAAAAAAATATTTCTCCAGAATCATACTGTTGCAGAAATTTGTTTCATCTTTTTTTTAGATTAACAAAATGCATTTTATTTTTCAAGTCGGTATCTGCCGTTAGATTTGACATGATTTGTAATAGAATAAGTGTTATACTTTTACATTTTTTAAAAATATATAAATGTTTTTATTTTGAATTTTTATTTTCTCAAACCCACCTCTATACCACCAAACCCCAATATTCATGAGTATTGGATTATTTCAGTAATCCTCAATTGCAAGGCCAAGCTTTGACATTGACAGCTGAATAAGAAATAACTTTTTGAAAATTAATAACAGTATCTATGATAATAATTTACGGTAGCTTCATCAGTCCAACTGATGAAGCAACCGTGTAGCGAAACACGTCTTGAATGAAATTTATAGTGAGAAAATTGAATGATTATTATCAGTCTGCTTTTCATATGTAGGAAGTTACTTGCGACAAATTTTCCAAATGAAAGACGTTGCACAGGTGCCTAATGGTTTTACTTCAGCTTTCTGCGCGGCAGTAGCTGGATTTGTTGTTGTTATTCCGTCGGGTATCTGCCACACGTACCTAATAAGTCGTAGGTTCACATGAGAGGCAAGGGGTAAGGTGTTTTCCACCTGAACTTAGCCATGTCATATATAAAGGATTGTATACTTAGGTGAGTAATTTATCTTTGTTATCTACGGAAGCGCGGGAGGGTCACATATTTTTATTATACGTTTCTTGAAAATTATAACTTTGAAACTCAAAATTTCAACTGTAATCTCGAAATTACGACTGTAAAATTGAAATTTTGTCTTTACTATCAAAATTACGACTTCAAAACTCGAAATTTTGTCTTTAATCTCGAAATTTTGTCTTTAATCTCGAAATTACGACTTTAATCACGAATTCACGACTTTAATCTCGAATTCACGACTTTGAAACTCGAAATTTCGTCTTCAATCTCGAAATTACGACTTTAATCCCGAAATTACGACTTTGAAACATGCAAATTTCGACTTCAATTCCGAAATTACGACTTCAATCTCGAATTCACGACTCTGAAACTCGAAATTTCGTCTTTATTCTCGAAATTATGACTTTAATCGCAAAATTACGACTTTTAGACTCGAAATTTCGACTTTAATATCGAAAATACGACTTTGAAACGCGAAATTTCTTCTTCAATCTCGAAATTACGACTTTAATTCCGAAATTACGACCTTGAAACATGCAAATTTCGACTTTCGATTTAATATCGAAATTTCGTCTTTTATCTCGAAATTACGACTTTAAGACTCGAAATTTTGACTTTAATCTTGATTTCACGACTTTCAAACTCGAAATTTTGTCTTCAATCTCGAAATTACGACTTTAATCCTGAAAATACGACTTTGAAACATGCAAATTTCGACTTCAATCTCGAAATTACGACTTCAATCTCGAAATTACGACTTTGAACTCCAAGTTACGACTTTGAACTCTGAATTACGACTTTAATCCCGAAATTACGACTTTAATCTCGAGTTCACTATTTTGAAACTCGAAATTTTGTCTTCAACCTCGAAATTACGACTTCAATCCCAAAAATACGACTTAGAAACATGTAAATTTCGACTTCAATCTCGAAATTACGACTTTGAACTCCAAATTATGACTTTGAACTCTGAATTACGACTTTGAACTCGAAATTTCGACTTCAATCCCAAAATTACGACTTTAATCTCGAATTCACGACTTTGAAACTCGAAATTTAGTCTTTAATCTCGAAACTACGACTTTGATCCCGAAAATACGACTTTGAAACATGCAAATTTACGACTTGGAACTCGAAATTACGACTTTGAAACTCGAAATTTCGTCTTTAATCTCGAAATTACGACCATGAAACATCCAAATTTCGGTTTTCATGTTGAGATTAATGTCGTAATTTTGTGTTTCATAGTTGTAATTTCGAGATTATCAACCAATCTTTATTAACCATTTCGGTACTTAACGTAATAAAGTCGAAATTTCGAGTTACAATTCGTAATTTCTAGATTAAAGTCGAAATTTTGAGTTCCAAAATCGTAATTTCCAAGAAATAAATAATAAAAATAGGCACGCAGAGGGGCTGCGTTTTCGTCTGTATGACGACTCATCAAAATCATCCAATGTGTGTCACATTCTAAGGACACTATTGTATTATTAGTAATACCCAGGGCCATAGCGAAAAGAAATACCGGGGGGGGGAGGGAATCCAAATTTTACCAACCCCACCAGCAAAATTTTCCAACTTTCGAAAGAATGAAAGCCGAGTGATTAGTTACTACTATAATATATTAATTTTCTTACATAGCTATCCAAAGATTGGCTGAATGCTTATGCCCGTTAGGGTATGCACAAACAAAAATAAATTTTGGTAATTATAAAAATAATAATGGGAATTATTTTACTTTGGGCCAAGATCCTTGGTGTTCCACCATGTATAGAAATATTCAATACAAATGAAAGGAAACAACACTTAAATAATATTGTACTTATTGTTTTCTACTATTATTTTTTCTATCTTCACGGCCCAAAATTTACCAACTTTTTCCCAAGTCAAAAAAGCAGGGGGGGGAGGCTCCCCCCCATCCCCCCATGGCCCTGGTAATACCTATTGATCTGATGTTAGGACGTCGAATACAAATAATCAAAAATGTTCGATTATCAGTATCTTCAATTGAAATATTGAGAAGTAGTTTGTTGTGATTCTTTTTCTCATCATTGCATTTTTTATCATTCATCATCATTTTTCATTTTTATTATTTGTATATAAACCAAGCTACTTACACTCACAATCGAATAACAACATGTTTTTATCATTTTCCTTTAATTTTTGTCATGGTTTGTGTATAATTGTTCAGCCCATTTCCATTTATTTGAGTCGTAAAAATGTATTTCCTTCCTTTCAGTGTTATATTTTTTAAATTTCATAATCATTGTTCATTTACTCTCATTCTATTACATTATTTCATTTCTAACTAATCCATCCGAATATTTCAGTAGTGGTATTTTTAATAGCTCATTAATTTATTCTCGTAATTTCAAATCTGTCAACATACTTTCTTATTATTAAATAAAACCATCTCAATGTTTCACTATTTTCTTCAATATTGACTGAAAATTTTATGATTTACTACGTTCTCCTTTTTTTAACCTAAGAAACAGAGCGGCCACTTCAATCCCTATCAGTAAGAAAAAAGCCACACACTTTTCAAGCATTTACAAACATCAGCAATTGCTTTAAAGAAAATGTGAATTATGACGCGTGTCAAATATCTTTATTCGAAAACTGGTTCTACTGGCCTACTAAGATCTCCATTCCCCATAGCATTTGAATAACAGCAAGTCATCATTGTTTTTTTTGAAGCCTCCTGCATGCCCCAAGCGGGCACATCCTGTCCAAGGATAATAAGGGGTCCGCGTGTTTTGTAGCTTAACCATACCAGTACAAAAGAACTCGACATAAAGAAAAGAAAAGAAATGGGAAAAAATCCACAGAAAGACATACACGTCGATTACGTCACGCGAACGGCAAACAAAGTTCCCTTCTTATCGCTAATCCTTGACGTTAGTTCCGTTTTCTTGAGGCCCCCTTTCTGCAGATGTTCTACGGGGTTTCTTATTCCCTCCGAGCAGCTGTTCCCCGTTACAAAAACGTCTTTGTTATGATCCATATTTGTGCGCGTGGCTTCTTACCCGTCATTGTTATCGGTTGCGTCGACACCTTTTACTTTCGCATTGAGAAGCAGTGGCGACGTAGGTCGAACTTGTACGTATTTAAAATTGATAATAATAATGTAGATAATAATGTTTCGAGTACAAATAGTTGGGATTCAGAAAAATTCCGAATGTGAAGTAGTAATTTGGTAAAATTCCGAGTTGAAAGTCAGAAAAAAATCTGAGACTGAAGTCAGAATTTAACAACTTAAAATCATTACTCTCTCTACTGTTCTCTAGCAACCATAACATACTGACAAAAAACAAATAATACATCACAATCAAAACAGCCCGAATACGTACAACCACCCACATCATACAAACGATCAGATTAACATACCAACATTATTAAAAATACGTAGGACATTGATGCTATCAATATCTGACGCGCAACAGTATTTTTTTCACATATTTAAAAATCTATAGCCGCTTCCCCCACCGATGAAAAGGTATATATTATATAAAATGTTTTTCTTCTCATCATCTAAGCTTTGTAACATGACGCTCGAGTAAATCCCCATTTTGCATCGTGGGCTCCCCTGCTATTGGCAATGATAGTATTAATGAACGCACTGTTCGACGTTGGTTTGCAACGTCATGGCATTAGACAGGAGAGTAGTTGTTTTCTGATAGGTGACAGTCCATTAACCTACAGTGTAGGGAGTTGAGACTGACCTGAATGAATTTTTCCTTTAGATGATTTGACACGATTTACTGTTTGTTTACTTTGAATATGGAATTTCATAATGATAAATCTTTTGAGTGTCTTCTGTTTATTTCGTGATGCATTTATTTGATTTCTAAAACACCTAAAGTTTTGCACTGTATGCAATGATGAAAAAAATATATGTAAATAACTAAAGAATTCAAAGAATGTGAAACTATCGATTTTCTAGGAAATACACTTTCTGGAGGCATTTCCACAATGCTAATAAAAAGAGGTTGTTGACCTACAGATTCTCACCTTCCGTGTATCTGCCTATTATGGACGTTTTTCCTGTAACAAAATGGATATTTGTGAGAAAAGTGGCAGTTCCTTCTTTTTCGAAATTAATATTTTTTTATGATCGCGTTATTCGGCGTGTTTCGCGCACTAACTGAGTTTTGATTACTTGAAATTGAATTAAATAAATGAACCGAATATAACATATTCAAAAAACACACTTTAATGTGAGTTTATAATTCAATACAATTTCTTAAATCAAATCAAAATAATACACTTTTCATTCTAACAAAAAAAGTTTTCTTGTGATTTAAATTTTTTCATTCTTTTATTTCTTCATTTGACTGTTTGAAGAGGATTTGATAGCTTTAATAGAAAAAGTTAACCAATGTATGATTTCAATATTTTGAGTTGACCTTGACACACTCAAATTAACCTCCATGTAATTATCGAACAATGTAAGAGTTTGGATAATCGAAGAAGATAGTTTATTAGAATTTGAATTGTATCAACATGTATTTTATTTTGCATGAATGTCACGCACAAGTTCTGTGAGCTTCAGTGATAGTTAATTTCTCATTATGTTTATATATTGAATTTTTAAATACCTAAATTGTCACCAAGTCATTAAATAAAAAATCGTGTTAAAGTTGGTAGTTCAGCACTTCTGTACTTATATGACAGGCAACTTTACATTTGAAGTTATCTATACTTATTCTTTCAACTTTGATAAGTAACATTTCAAAGTTATCCAACTAATAGTACTGTGTAATATTTAATATTTCCAAATATTGTGCCTTACACAATGATTGTGCTTTAAACTGCCATCTATTGAATGATAGACAAATCAAAATAGAGTAATCTTTGAAATTAAAACGAAAGTTAGAAAACAAGAAAATATTACTCTTTTGAATTGGAAACAAAATGTTCGAGCTTTGTTTATCCTATATACAAAGGTTTGAGTAAAAGGACGACAGGAATGATATTGGAAGTAACAAATGCATTTCATATAAGTTTGAACTGAATTCTGTTCACTAAACAAGATCTTTCAAATGTGTCTAGACAAATACTACATAGACTAATTTATAGTTTTTTGTATAGAATAAAAAAATACATCACATGTGGCGGATCTTTTGAGAAATCAATTTAACTTTGTGTATATTTTATATTTTCAGAAAGAAATTCTAAACTAGGCTCACTTTTTGAGACCATTATTGAAGTAGTTATCGTTTCCTATTCATGTTTTGTATCCCATTGATTTATTGTCACCAAATGGTCATACAGTCAATTTCATAATTCGAAATATACAACAAACTTTTGGAGATCAAATCGTGAGGTGTAGTTTTTGAAATGACTATGGATCTTCATCAAGTAACAGCCAAATCAATCAGAAAATCAATAAAAAAGTTTCACTTATATCACAAACTGTTTGGCACACCCTGTATCATGTGAAAAATAAGCTTGCAGCTTCATTCTGCTATACATGTATTAATAGAAAGTATTGATAAATATAAAATTGTAGGCTTCCAATATATTTTGGGTTTATATAGTACATATAGGAATAGTACTTGACAATATTTCTTTCAAATTATCCCTTATAAGTTTCATGCAATGTTAGGTATATGCTTATTTAAAACTCACTCAGTTCTGGATCTACAGGTTCTCCCACTTCAAAAGCATCGGTGGGCACTCCAATAAACTTTTTACTGCTCTTCATAGTTGTTCCCTTTTTAGAAACGTCCTCAGTCACTTCCACCGTTGCATTTTCATTGAGAGAGTTAACTTCAGGAACTTTTGTCAAAGATTCTTTTTGGTCATCAACTTTTAAATCAAAATTATAAACAAGAACATTTCTGTTTGAACGGAATTCAGCAATTTCAGTGGTAAGCTCAGTGAGATGTTTACGTTTATCATCCTTAGTAGTTTTGATAAGATTTTTTATTTCATCTCTGAGACTCTCAACTCTTCCACGGCGAGAATTGACAGAATTTCTACTAATTTGAGACTCTGTTTTCTGGAGTTGATTAGCCCTAATTTCCTTCCTCAGGTCATCAACGGTTTTGCTCATATCACCACCACTGGTAGAATTGAATCTAGATTTGGGAGCACCTTTGACTTTTTTATTGATGGTTGAAAACAATTCAGACTTGACTGATTTGAGTTTTGGTGCTTTGGTGAACTCATTTTCTTTGCTGCTTGTTGAGCTGGTTGTTACTGAAGATTTTAGGGCTTTAGCTACATTACTTGGCTTATTTTTTGGTTTCAACAAAACAGTGAAACTTGTCTGACCTCGTTTCAGAGAAGAAAACTCCCGAGTTGTCGATGAACTACTAATGAGAGTATGATTCGTGTTGGACTTCAGTTTATTAACAGCATTTGATTTATACCCTCCACTGTCTCCTTTACTATGTTTGCTTTCATTGGTACTAGGTATTTTGGGTTTAAGAGTACTTATAATTACATTTCTTCTAGTCCGACTCAACGAAGATTGAGGAGGGATGGGTTTCTTGAGTTTATTCAAAGTTTCAATGATATCTACATCCGCATTAACTTCTGGAAAGTCACAGTTTCGATGAAGCTTATAGTAATCTACGTTAGGTTGAAAATGTTTAATGATATTCACATTTTTCTGGGTTTTCGCTCCTTGAGGTTTTTTCGATACGTTCCTTTGTAGTTTCTGTTTATTTGCCATGTTACCAAACGAAGATTCAGGTTAGAAATGGAAATTCTTTCATCAGAATTTGTGCAAGGGTTGAATGCGAATGAATGAAGGAAACTCTCACAACACATTTTAGACGAACGTGGTGACGATTTCTCTTAAATGCTACAATTGATGTTCATTTCGAATAATTTTGAAACCGATAAACCGCGGGAACGGATAATTTTGATTTTGAAGATGAAAACGACAACACACGACGTACAACCACAGAATAGCATCACGCACAGATCACTGAATTAGAACAAATGTTCCGTATTTTGTGAACACACTGAACTCTCGTGTTGTCATCAGTCAATTTCAAGCAAATAATGATTGAAAAATTAATCAAGAACTTTTATAACGGTCAAGAAAATAATAAAAATTTTCAAATATTTGTGATTTGTTATTCGAAAGTAAGATGAATTATCACTCTGCTATTCGCTGTCATTTTCTTTCAATAATGAAAAAATCACGACTTAAAAGAGCAAGTTGAAGAAAATAAGAGAAATAATGATTCAGTGAAACATGCCGAATTTAGAGTTACAGTCTGCCTTTCTGCAGGAGACATTGGTCCTGTTACGTAATGTTGAAGGACGATATCAAGATTTTGGCCCCACATTCAACGATAGTTCGTCGAATCGAGAACAGGTTACACGAACATAGTTGAAATTGAAATATAAATGGAATTGCTCAGTCAATGAATATTATTCTCATATTTATTTTACTATTAGTCCTGAAAATAGTTTAATGAAACACCATTTTTTGTAACGTTTGTAACGTTTTGTAATGTTGTAACGTTTGTATTATTATTTATGACTTATATTGCGATTGTGTTAGTTGATTATTTACTCATTTAACACTTTGGTACACTGGATACAAGCATCGTGTTTTTATCGATTCGGTTTTGTTTTGTCAAAAACTTTCGACACGAGAAATGAGACTGACCTAGCTTTGTACACATGTTTAAAGATGGTACAAGAATCCGAATCTGTCAAGCGTATTTATTGGATCTCTTCATTATTTCTTTATCTGGTGTGTCATACATGAAAAATAGGTCCAAGTGATCACACGGGATATTCCATGAATTTTGACCATAAATGATTTACTTCACAAATCACTGGATTGACTTACTTGCCAAAGCCTCTAGTAGAAGAATTGTCAATAAGCTCAGAGCTGACGTTAGAAAGCTGTCTCTAGTTTCAGAGTCCTAGCAAAAAATGTGACATAACAACCTAACCTCTTTTTAAATATTAATTTTCACTCATTACTCATTTCAGTTTGAGCGTTGTGATTAGTTTGGCATTGGCAGTGTGATAAAAATTTATAAATCATATTGTGAAAATGAGTGTGCCATTGCCTCCAGGAACTGGCATCGAAAACATAGACGCAGATCAGATCAAAACGGTATGTTTCATATATGAATTGAGGTTTTCCTGAGTTCTTTCATTTCAGTTCAAAGATTTTTTAATCTCCTATAACAAATTGACGGAACTATGCTTTACTGACTGTATATCAGACTTCACGACTAGAGCCATCAAAGGAAAAGAGGTATGTTCTTGGATCTTTATTCTGGTTTATTTAATCTACAAGTTGAGTGAAAAAAAGTGGTGAGCTTATAATCATTTCAAAAAATCTAAAAATTAGTACAGTTCCTAAATACACTGCAATAAATAAAATATCTGAAGTTCTTGTCGATCTGTGTTGAAGAAATTTATTAAAGGTTGATATCAGTATTTGCATTTTTATGTTGGGAATGTTATCATACAAAAGGGCCAAGATAAAGTTGTAGATCAAGTAAGTGCGAACAAAAATGTTTTTTATAATTTTTTTGCTACCAATCACCATTCCTGAGATACCGCCAGGTTCAGTTGATAAGTACTCTTCTTGACATTTCAGTTTCAGTTCATGTCAAGAAGAGTACTTCGACCATGCCACTGAAGATGACTGTTGCAGTTGAAACTTCTGGAGATTGTACCCAAAGAAGATTATGGCAAAACCAGGAAACCAACCAAAACACTATTTATAGTGTTGGAGAAATCTAATGATTCAGTTGAATGAGATGAAATATATTAAGGTTTCGCATCCAGAAGTCATCATTACAAATAATATTTGCTTTCTTGCTTTAGAGCACCAAAATAATGATTGTATAGGACTTACTAAATGAAACAGAATCACACAATAGATGGTGGAGTATACATACTGGGGATACCACGAAAAAAAATTGTGCGAGTGTATTTTCTCGAAGGGGAGGAAACAGATTACGTAAAATATAACTTCTCAAAATTTTAAAATAATATTTCAGGATTGCTGAACAGTAGAAAAAAGGTATAAGAATACTTTTTGTAGACCAATAGAACAATAGACCATATCCCATAAGGATTTCATTTGGAGCACATGTATTTTTCCAATATTGACTACTCTGTATATTTGTCATCAGTATCAGTTGTTTTATGTAGATGCTATTGATGTTTGTACTGTCTATTTTTTTAATTTTATTTGCTGTTTTGAAAGTCTTTGAATTGACTGTGCTTATCATTAGAGTCAATTGTCTTATGTAGATACCAGTTTTTCATTGAATCCATTTTTCATTTAGTTTTTAATATCTAGTTGAGATAACGTCCTGAACAATTAACAACAAGACAACTGGCACCAATGGCAAATACACAGAGTAGCCTACTAAGCAAAAATACTTGTTCTCCAACTGAAATTCTTATCTGATATGCTCTATATAGGGAAGTACAACATTAATCTAACCTATTTTTACAATAGCAACTACCATTAACGAGAAAAATACAAAAACTGATATTTTTGAGCTTCAAGCAATGAATTTTCAGCACGCCTGAGATTAGTGGGACTTTCTATATTTCATTTATAACTTAATATTTTATTTATTGTTTGTTTCTAGGAGAAATGTGCTCTGAACTGTCTAGAGAAGTTCCTCAAAGTGAACCAAAGGATATCTCAACGTTTCCAAGAGTTCCAAGTACTAGCTAATGAAAGTGCGATAGCAGCTGCTCAGAAACTGGAGAAAGGTGCAGGTTGAACACAAAGTTACTGAGAGAATCTGTTTTATTTGCATTTGTTAGAAGGTAGTAATACTTTGTTGAAAATAAATAATAGAAACTTCAGGTTATTTGGTTTACAAGAGAGATTCATGGTAGTGTTGGTTTCAGAATCATGAGAATCAGCAGCAACTGCTCCTGGGTGTATTATCTTTAGGCTCGTCTTTCAAAGTCACTATGTCCTCGGTGATTAAAGAACATTGAGTTCCATAGTAATTTGTTAGGGCAGCCTTTGTTAATTTGAGCATTGCTTCGTCTGGAAACAAAAAAAGATATATCAATTAATCTTCATGTAGGACTTTCTTTCAGTTTGTGTCTGAAAGTTACTTCTTTGCATGATCTACACATCCATGTATAGAGTTACTTCTTTTCAAATTGATTACTTCCTTCTTTTCTTTGGAAGATTCTCTCATCCTTTTTTGTATCAAGATGGAGTAGTAGAAAACCAAAAACTCTCTTTCCCAAAAATTAATCACTCCTAAAAATATAACCCCTTCAATTCACATAAGTGAATGCCAATTAGAATCAGAAGGGTAGAGCATGGGCGGTCTATAATTTAAGTTACTACTCATAGGTTTCTGCTAATACTTTGCTTACGTTCCTAGCACTACAACTAATTGTAATGTTAACCAACTGAAAATGGGCAGACAAGAACACATCAGGTTTTTTTATTTTTATCAACTTGACTCTCTTATTCAAAGCCGATTGTGTAGAAAGACCAAATTTTTTTCTCTAATCCTGGCTTTATGGTTATATACCAACTGTCAATTGTCTATTCATTATATATAATTTTGAATCTTATTTTTTATATTGAATTGTTTTTGTACACTGGCGATTGGAAGGATATAACGTTCTAAAAAAATGTACAACAATTCTATTTCTTGAAATAGTTGATTGTAACCCCGTTCCAATATAATACCATTAACCTACCAATATTAATATTTTGTTTAGCTGATGTAATATACCAGTACAGAATGTCATTGGTTTCGCAATATTCCTTTATGTGATCCGGTATTGTTTTTGTTGTAATGTCGCCTTTATTAGCTAAAATTACTACTGGTATGGATTTTCCTCCGGGCAGATATATTTTTCTTCTCAGGTCTGAGAGCCACTGAAACAAAATCGAACTTTCAACCGAATTTTTAAACTTTTTTATTAACTCACTTTATCGATAGATTTGAAGGTTTCAGGTCTTGTTAAGTCGAAGACTATTGCAGCTGCCACCCTATAAAACAAAAACAATCTTTTGTTTAATGCTTCATTACCCTGTCATTTTGGACTATGAAAAACATTCTTGAAAATATATTCAGGTATTATGAAGCACCCAAAAGTAAAACACCAATTCGCTTTTTATATAGATCTGATGAAATAACTTTCCTTATATGTCAGAACTGTTTAGTTCTGGTTTTTGAAATGATCTATACTACTGGGTTTATGCTACTGGGTTTATGCAACACACTCCCTAAGCTTGAGACAATAACAAATCGACGACAGCGTTGGTAACTTCATTAAGACTTGTAATTACGAATTATGTCTAGAAAATTGACCAATATTTTTCTAGTGAGTCAACACAAAAATGAGCATGCTTCAAATTGAAATATTCACTGTCATTGACCTTGTTTCAAATTTATATATGTTATAATAATGGAAAAAATGAATGGAAATGTGTTGAACATTTGCTGTTCATTTCAAAGTAGTTACTACGGGAAGGCTTCTTCTTCCAGTTTGTATCTGAAAGCTCTAAGTATAAAACGAAGTATTCTCTAACATGTTACGTGTTAATACAGTAAGTACATTACTTTGCATTCACAGAGATGCAGGGCTAAGTCATTCTCCTTTACAGGAAGCATAAATATTTGAAGAACATGTTGCAAAAGGTAGGTGTTCTTAAGTGTTTTGACAGATATTTTTTATTTTTATATAGTCGGATATGCCGACAAAGAACATGACCTGAAGAAGAGGTCCGAGTATTGAGCCCTGTGGAACACTTGAAGTATATATAGAAGTATTTGATTAATTCATATTGAATCGAACAAAGTGTTGTTGGTTGCAAAGATAGGACTGGAAAAATGATGAGGTAGTGGTGAAAGAGTACGAATGTAGCTTTTTAATCAAGACTTTATAATTGACTCTGTTGAATTCCAGGATTTATTGAAGGACGTTATAATAGCTACTTTGAATTCTTTTCTTATATGCAACTTTTTTTTCAAATATTTTTTTTATTTTCATAATTTATTTCTTTCTTCTTTATTACAACTAGTTTTATTAGAAAAGCAACGGTCTGAAACATATTCGTTTTGTTGACCTGACTTAATGCCCCAAGACTATTCACAGGTTGTATAAATGTTGAATGCAGTGTTTGTACGACTAGGAGGATGATAACTGTCAACATTTACATGGTTCTGTTACCGAATTATTTAAAATACTGTTCATAATAGCATGATGCAAAATGTGGATTTACTCGAGCGTCATAGAGACAAATTAGGTTGCAAAGCTTAGATAATAAGAAGAAAAAAATGTTATATAATATATACCTTTTCATCGTTGGGGGAAGCGGCTATAGATTTTTAAATATGTAAAAAAATACTGTTGCATGGACATACTTGAGCGCGTCAGATATTGATAGCATCAATGTCCTACGTATTTTTAATAATGTTGGTATGTTAATCTGATCGTTTGCATGATGTGGGTGGTTGTACGTAAGGGTTAAAAGTCAAAAGAAAAAAAATTTAATCAAGCGTGTCAGATTTTCTAAGGGGGTGTTAGCTTGGGCTCCCCTATTATAAAGTACCTACAGATAATACTGGCAGCTCATGCCATGAATAATTTTGGCCTTGTATGACCTTTATTCAAAAATATAATCTGTTCCATTGATATCAGAGGAAGTCGAATGATAAGCTGGAACCAGACCTGTTGTATACTATCAAAACTGTTCCATTTGTACTAGGTTTCATATGGATTAATTGAAAATCTAAATTATCACTCTCATAATAAATGAATATTGGTTTATATTTGTTCTTAAAACAGCATTATGACATTATGACGCCGCCTTCTCGTTTCACATAGTTATATTTTTTGTCATTTCTGAAGATAACATATTGATTATTGCAGAGTTCGTGGTCGTTGATTAAGTGTTTAGTATTTCTCTCTCTTCATCATTGATTACATTTCTTTTGTTTGTTTTTTGTACTGTCAGTTAAAATCAAATCTTCTTTAGTATGCCAAAAATGTCGGCAGTTTGAAATTAGTAATTGAAATCAGCAACAACCACTAAGTTTTCAATGTGCTTTCTCTTTGCCCTTAACAATGAATTGTGATGCTTCCGTTCATCCTTTCAAAAATGTTGTGATGTCTTCCTCATTTACTTTTTGAGTTACCTGCCATCCAAATTTTCTGTTTTCCTCCTTTGATTTGTCTTCTTCCAGCTGCCTTACACATATTTCATTGAAACAATTTTTTCTTTGGATTTGCCACTCTCCTACATTAAAAAAAAGCCCTGTGAGCTCATTTTTGTTGCCCATCTTCAGTGGTCATATTATTTTCGAGATTGATAGCTTGCTGTTTATTGGTATAATTTCCGGTGTTAGCCAGTTTCCTTGTATTTTGGGTTAGTATAAACTTTTATCAATGCTAAGCAACTTCGTTTTCCTTCAGGGCTGACCCATTTTCTGTTTTAGAATCTCCCCTTGGATAGTTAGACATATATAGTAATTATTATAGTTAAGTTACAATTAATGTTTTTTGTTTGAACTTCCACCAAAACCCGAGTAGAATCGAAAGATGATGGCATAACATTGATTCTCATCCAACTAGTTTCATAATCAAGATTGATTATGTACATGTAAATTCTTCTTTGAATTATTTGAATCGGACGAGTTCAAAATGTCGTGGATTTGAACTGTGTCTTGTGATACTCTAAATTAATCAATGCAATATTTTAGTCCAAAAATATTTCATCTCATGTATAAAAGTAGTATTAAACAGTTGTATAGATACTGATGAAGCCATACATACTTACGCATGCCTGTAAAAAACGCTCAGTAAACTCCCAAATCTTTCGTGACCTGCTATATCCCACACGTGCAAGTTTATTCTTGTATTTTCATCCCATTCCAGCCTTTTGATAGCAAAATCTGCTCCGATTGTTATTTTGTACTCGGTTGAAAATTCATCTGAAAAAAATTTTCAATAGAAAAATAATTCAATGAAGGGTCAGATGTGTGTCCCCTGAAGTTTCAAACTCCTGTTGTTTTTTATAATCAAATTCTCACTTCGTCCAAACTGACATCGCCAAAATATGAAAGTTGTCGAAACTGGTAGGAATTCGACGTAGTGGGAATTCGACGCAGTGAGAACTCGATCTAGTGAGACTCCGAACTAAGAGGAATAATTTGTCTAGGAGCAGAATGTCTCACTAAGTCGAATTCTCGCTAGGTCGAATTATTGAAATGCCGAAATTTGACTACATTGAAATGATTTCAGTTTTGAATGTTCGTATTTTAATAATGTCATTAAAAGGGATGGCTTCCTCACTACGTCAAAAGGCATCCCTTCCAATGACGTTATCAAAATACGAACTTTGTCGAAACTGAAATCAGTTTAACATGGCCAGATTTAGCCGTAACGGTAATTCGACCTAGTGAGAATTCGACGAAGTGAGACTTTATTCTGCTCCTAGGCAAATGATTCCTCNTTTCTTAATTATATTCATTACTATACCAACATAACCAAAAAAATAAATTCTCATTATTTTGTCAATATCTGTTCTTATTTGATTATTGTTTTACTGAATGTAGGGAATTCTAATGGGTTTTTTATCAGATAAGCTAATTTTATAAAACGTACAATTTTTATACAGAATTTACATTACAACTCAATAACCCAACTCAAATAGGGAAAACCTTGAGGGAATTTTAATAGTAGGTATATACAATTGAATAAAGGCTCCATCCAGTATACATAGCGCGCTGAGAGATTAGTTTTTGATTTGTTTATGGTATTGTATTTTAATAAAAGTTTTTAATTCACTTTCATTCACGTTTTAAATAAACATATTTATTCATTTCGAATCATTGAGTTTCTCACCTACACCAAAATCTCCGATGACGACAATTTTGAAGTTGAGTTCATTTTTATGTAAGTTATTCTTCCTTATAGTGTCTTGAATGTTTATCAGTTCTTCCCTGGTCAAACCATTTTTGATACTCATCCTATCCACTTTCAACTGAATTTATACTTTTAATTTTGATGAACAACAAGCCATTTAATTTCGCAATAAATTTATGTCACGAGATTATAAATCGGCTGTTTATTTCATCGCGAACCACAGGTGGAACTGATAAAATAAACAAGTTTGCTGAATTATATTCAAATTATTTTTTGGAGTCGCCATCTAGAAAAATACTAATCAATTTCTAAAGATTTTGAGGTTGATCATTCCATCTACATGGCAGTAGACGAACTAAATTGTAATGATTTATGTTAGATTTTCGTTTGGCGTCACCTATTTTACAGTAGAGAAAATATTTTTATGGAGTATTTTTATAGACCTCTATGCAGTTTTCTTTTACATACAGATGCCTTCTCAATCTTGGATAAAAAATGAAATTCTAGGTCCATTAATGTTCTCTTTTTTTTTCATTTTTGACTTTCCTGCCACGTTATCCCAGTGCGACGTTCATTAATATGCTGATGATTTTCATTTATATCTGTCAAGTCAATTTCATAATATTTACCATGCTATCACCAGGATGAACTTGGATTTAGAAAATACACTTCTATTTTTCAAAAATCATGGCCTTGGAATAAATCCAAATAAAACAGTAGCCCTATGTTTGGGATCTGACCTACAGAGAAACGAAGTTGAAACAAATTTCCATCTTTTTGTTGACAATTAACCGATTGTCTGGGTGAATTCAGCAAAAAATTTAGGTGTATATATCGATAACACTCTCTCATTCAACGAGCACGTTAAACACATTTACAAAACTTGCTTTTTTAAACTGAAATACTTATACAAGTTCAAGTTCCAGCTTTCTCAAGAAACAAAACTGAAATTAGTTCAATCATTGATTTATCCCCATATTGAGTATTGCTGCTCAGTGTATAACAACTTTTTGCCAGACTTTAATAAACACAAACTTCAACGCATACAAAATGCTTGTAGGAGATTTGTGTGCTGCATAAACTACCGAGATCATGTAATTCCATATTCATTGAAATTAGATCAGCTGAATATTGAGTTTAGAATTCGTTATCTCATATCTGTATTCTTATATAAACTATTGGAAAGCAAAACTCCTAATTACTTGTTCAGATTAATCAGTAAGCGATCTGATAATCATTCTATCAATTCACCAAATTTGAGGGATGTTTTTCTTACTTTGGACCGAAGTATCTAAATAATTTATTACCGTATATTCATTTGTCTATATATCAATTCAAAAAACTTTGAAAATTCATTTCTTAGATGTTCAAAAATGATTGTAATCTTTTATATTATCTCCATTATATTTTTTTTTATATTATTTTTGTGTCTATTGTAATTGTTACTTATAGTCTTACTGTATGCTGTTTAGAATAGGACCTTTGTCACAGTAATTCTCATGTCACACTCTACTTTTGAAACCATTCATGTACCGATCTCAAGAATTTCAGGCAGGTTTCATTTAATCTATGGTCGTTCTGAGGCTCGTTGAGCGACACTAGATTTTTCTGGTCTTCTAAATCGGATTTGTGATGCGTGCTCTTTGTAACTAGTTTATATGGCTGGCTCAGTTTGACCGATATATTTTTTGACAAACAATTTCTACTTAAAATCATTGATGTGTATCTGAAAGTGAACCCTGTTAGATATAAAAAAACTGATTTTAGAGTTAGGAATTAGTTTTGTCCATCTCCTGAAGTCGCACGCACGTCGGGAAGAGCATTGAAGTTCTAAGCCTTCCATTTAGTAAGATGAGCTCATTCGATAATGTATGAAATAAGTTGCGGTAATTGATCTATGCCATAGAGATGTTATGCTTGTGCTGTTCCAAATCCGGCGTTACACATCTGTCGAAGCGTAGATTCTCCTAAAACCAGCCACTCCTCAATTTGACTCTTTCTGTCAAATATCTGTCCGAATATTCGGTCAACTGCGGAGAGTATTCATTCGCGTGTTTAGTGCTTATAACACTAATTTAAGCAATTCATCGCTGTCGCTGTAGAATTTCAAATGCTTTCCGCGAAACAACTACTTCCCTGGCGATAACCACGACTGATATTGTATAACAAGAGGTATTTTTTTCAAGTATTCTCACAGGTCTCACATATTTAAAATTTCAGGCAGGTTTCATTTAATCCATGGCCGTTCTGAGGCGCGTTGAGCGACACTAGATTTTTCTGGTCTTCTAAACCGGATTTGTGATGCGTACTCTTTGTAACTAGTTTAAATGGCTGACTCAGTTTGACCGATATATTTTTTGACAAACAATTTCTACTTAAAATCATTGATGTGTATCTGAAACTGAAAATGAACCCTGTTAGATATAAAAAACTGATTTTAGAGTTAGGAATTAGTTTTGTCCATCTCCTGAAGTCGCCATCTTGGTTAGCGAAACGCACGTCGAGAAGAGTATTGAAGTTCTTAGCCAGAGGTTTTAGTTTCAGCTTCCATTTAGTAAGATGAGCTCATTCGATAATGTATGAAATAAGTTGCGGTAATTGATCTAGGCCATAGAGATGTTATGCTTATACTGTTCCAAATCCAGCGTTACACATCTGTTGAAGAGCAGATTCTCCTAAAACCAGCCACTCTTCAATTTGACTCTTTCTGTCAAATATCTCTCCGAATATTCGGTCAACTGCGGAGAGTATTCATTCGCGTGTATAGTGCTTATAACACTAATTTAAGCAAGTCATCGCTGTCGCTGTAGAATTTCAAATGCCTTCCGCGAAACAACTACTTCCCTGGCGATAACCACGACTGATATTGTATAACAAGAGGTATTTTTTTCAAGTATTCTCACAGGTCTCACATATTTTTCGGGCGAGGAAACTTGTACGAATGTCTTTAGTTTATAATTCAACACCCGTCATGAAATTAGTCAGGAAAGTCGTGTTTTAGGTAGGTTAGGAAAGTTGAGTGGCTTGAATTCTTTTGAAATAGTTTTTATAATGTATCCTTTTTCCTGGTCATGGATATTCAATTTTTGTTGTGATTCCAAACTTGTTTCATTGAAAAAGTTAATTGATCACGTGTTTAATGCTGTAATGTTCAAACTATCTGGTCACTACATGATAATCTTTCATTTCCTTCTTCTTATTGAAAGGAAAAAGTACTAATTTGTCAATTAATTAAATTCACAATGAGCAGAAAAACGTTATATTTTCCAATAATTACATAACGCAGCATGTGGCCACATAACCAAACGAGCGTTCTCCGAAAAAAGGTTCAAACAACATTAAACAATTAGTGAACACAAATAAATAGATCTATTAACGGAGATTATCCATGAGATTCTTCTCGCCCAGAGACGGTCACGATTTCTCCCCCATTTTTTCTCAGTATTCGTAGAAGCTACTGTTTGATGTATTGATCTACATATTCGACGGCTGACGCGAGTATTTTCTTTTCGATCGCTCTCATTCCGACGGCCAGTCGCTTATTGGCGTTCAATTGCTTTCCTGCCAGCAGTTTCTGGTCCTCTTCGATCGAGGTCTTGTAGATGCCCAAAAGGAGTCGCAGTCGCGCCTGTAGAAAAGTCCAAGATTTCTTCTCCAAAGATGTATCTAGGGCGCACTGAGAGTATCGCAAGTCGTCGGCGCGGTCGCTTTCTAACCAATGCTGAAGTTGTTCTGAAAAAAAAAAGACAGTGACGTATCCGATTGGTTTTGATGATGATACCATTTGAAATATAATATACATACACAATTTTTTATTTGACGAATTAGTTTTTGATGTTATATAAAAAAAGTATGTGATCTGACTGATAAAAAATCGATTTGAAATACGTCACTGACGACTGTTTGTTGTAGAAGGCCTGTGTAATAAAGTTGAGCGATAAAATTGCTTTTCCGACACGTGCAAAACGACTCAAATATATCCAAAACAAAAAAAATATCAATCTAGCTAACAAATTATTTTTTTGACAGATTTTACAAGAAGCCAAAACATTGTCAATCACCTTCAAACAAACATGTCAAAANAATTTTTTTTTACTAATCTGATCCTTTATACTTCACGAGCGGCCTTATATATGGGGCTCATATTTGGTGGAGGTACTTAACCGGGTACAAGGTATCCCCCTGTATATTAATCTGCCGCGCTTCAGTAAATCCCGAAATCCCCGCTTGGGCTCCCCTATTACCAGAACCAATTTTGCTCACTTCAATAATCTCCAAGTTGCAACAAATACAATAAACTGTGATTGTTTGAAAATGTCCTCATAAGACGAAGCTGCAGTAACATTAGTTACAAATAAAAGTAGTATGACCTCCTACCACGTAGTAATGGCTGCATCCATCAATTTATTGATCCCGTATGTGATCAGTGGTCTGGCAATCATCACAAATATCCAATGCATTTGTTTAGACCATAAGCCTCAAACATTTTCGAAGAGAAAGTCTTGCTTTGTGTACAACCATTTTCAACTGAGCATTTAGGTGAGTTTTTCATCGATGATAATATCCAAATATTCCTATTCTTCTGCGGATGGAATAACCTCCCCTTGGAGGAGTCAAATTATTATTTCCCTTGGTGAAGTGGACTATCATAGTCTTGTTGGGGTACACATACATTTGCTCCTTCTGGAAGTAACTATGAACATCGTCCAACGTTCCTTGGATAATATTAGAATCTACCTTTCCCAATGTGGTTCTTGTCAAGATGATTGAGTCGTCTACATAAGTTTGCAGATCTACCTCTCTTCTGTCAAGGAAATAAAGAAAACTCACTATCAGAAATGACCACAGGAGAAACAATAGCTGCACACGTTATGGTCGAGCCATAGTAACTGACGTGGATCCGACCAGACGATTTTATTCTTTTCAGCTAAAGCAGATCGAATAGATTCAGGTAGTGCATTATCAAATGCTTCTTTCAAGAGATGCATATAAAGCGGTCCCCTTGATATGCCCATNAGAAATCGCAAAATACTGCAGCAGCAACCTCGCCACTATTGATTCCAGTATAAACTTTTTCCATGTGTGAGAAAATTGCATCATTAGTGCCTTTACCACTTTGAAAGCCGAACTGTTCTTCATTGATGATTTTATGTTTTGACAGAAATACAGTTATCCTCAGCTTGACTAGTTTTTCTATAAGTTTTCCTAATGTGGGAATTAGGGAAATAGGTCGATAATGCGAGGGGTCGTCTTGATTGCCTCCTTTATATGGTGGTATTACCAATGATACCTTCAGGAAGTCAGGAAATTTTCCTGATTGAAATGATGCATTGGTAATATTGGTCAAGAGCTGTATGTGTGGTACATAATTCCACGCTTGGCTATCCTATTCAGTTTTTTGAGAACAGTTGAAAGCATTTTCATTGTTTTGAAGTAGAGCTGGAAAAATTAAATTATCAAAAAATTATTTTCCACCAACTTTTCATAGATAATGTTTCTTTGACCAATCTAATCTATGTGGTCAACTCAAGGAAATTTTCCTGAATATTTTGGGCGATGCTCTCATTTCAACAGTGAAAATCTGCCAACGGAACCTTTATTTCTATTAAATTCGCGTAATTTTGTTATTTTCGGATTCATGACCTGGTTTAATGACTATTAGCAATCTAACTATTTTACTACTTCCAGACATAAAGATACAAAGATTTAAACATCCCCATCAAATTCTATTCTCATCATAAAAGAGGAACACAGTTTATGAGCAAAAAATTTCCAGTAAACATTTGAAAGCGATGAAAGCATGCTTCGTATATGAATACCGATTCACTTTGTCCGATATTGACGACCCAATATAGGAGAGCTGTTCAAATATAACGATAACGTCTATGAAATGATCTCTCGCTAGATTTAGATAGTTTTGAATGACATTTTAGATGCCCTTTCTCAATGGTAACGTTACTGAATTCGGGGACTGTCTTCAAATACATTTTTACACTCGCAGGTTTGGATTCGGAAATATGAAGTAAAAAACTGTTATTGACAAGTGGTTGATTCTTCTGCAATGGTTTTCGCATTGGCGTCGTCAAATAATATTAATTTTTTTTATATTCTTCGATTTTTTAGCGCGTTTTCAACTGAAGTTGGCGTCGAGTTCATGTTGAAAAAGTGGTGGCGACTGTTGGAAAATTATATAAGAACCAAGAAAAGGGTGTAAGAGTGTCCATGGTTACTTTTTGAACAACCCCCGTACTTGTATTTATAACATAGACAATTCGAAATACACATTACCTTCATTCATATTGAATATCCTCAAGAACGCTAGAAGCGCACCATCGATAGGTTCAGAACCCTTGTTAATGAAGAAATCGCTAGTGGGAGAAATTGCGAGCTTTTGCAGCAGTTTGGTTCTTTTTTCTTCCAAGTTATCTGACTTGCTGATTCCGAGCCTAATCCAATAGCCATCGTGAGAGTTATCTTCATAAATAAATCTGCAAGAAACGAGATGAGTATTTTCTAATATTTGAGAGAGATAGAAACAAAAACTATATTATTGAGAAACAATTATTTACATCATTATGACGATTTTGATGGAACAATTTATGTAGCAAAGATTGTGGAAGTTATTGCTTATTGTTTTTGCCTTTCACTTAGCTCTTTGAGTATGGTAGTTAATTTGGTATAATCCTCATATGACACCACTCAAATATACGAGGTCTGTTCAAAAAATAAGGTGGATTTTCATATTTCTCTAAAAATATTCATTCATTCATCAATTTCTATTTTGTTCCCTTTGCTAGGGATATTTTTAAAAATGGCAATATTTTTTTTTAGATCGCTTTAGGGAAAAAAAAGTTGACGGGTAATTATTAAACGAATGTAACTTACAACAAAATTTATTAAATGGTCAAAAATACTGAGTGCGCATATAAGCAAAACTAAAAAAAATATGGCTCTTCTTTGGCACCCAGNACCAAATAAATTTCTGGCTAAGTGTCTTTTTGGTAGTACAAAACGTCAGGATAATTTCAATATCGTAACTTTTTAGTGCTTGTGAAAAAAATATTGGTAATAAAATATTCTAGATTTGGAGATAATGAACAAAACATTGTGCAATGTTCATCTTTGAATACACTACAGATGTTTTGTTGATTCCATATATGAAAAAATAACTCATGTGCTACTACTTTTCTTACCCGTTATGAATGAAAAGCTCGGCATTGGTTCTAGGTCCATAGAAAATGAAAAATTGTTCACCTGGTTCAAAATCTTTCAGCGCAAAACATTCGCTTTGATGCAAAATCGGATTATACTGGGTCGAAACCTGGAAAAAATTAGACTCAGCAATAAAATAGGCTTAGTAACACTTTTATCCATGAAATTCATTTGATGACTATCATTAATATTCATTATCATAATTAAAATCCCTCAGCCTGTTTTAGAAATATCATAGCGTATTTCAATGACTCATGGTATACTTCAATTGGTTCTTTATTCTCAGTTTTTTCAAAATCGTTTGTTAAAAGTCACGCTATAGGGCGTTACAAATTTTTTTCAATTCCGCACTTTTGGGAAATGATATAAACTTTTCATGTTTGAAAGAAAGATAGACACTTTGTATCAATGTATTTACCTCTAATACTATTTAAAATAACGCTAAAACTACTACAAATTATGTTTGAAGGTGGTTGACAATGTTTCGTGGTGTATGTCATCAGTTCGGACTTCCATTGTCTAACTTCAACGGAATGGTTACTCCAGAGTGATGGTAGAGCAGGCTTCAGTTAGAAGACAGCAAGAGCTCCACAAGGAAGAGAAGCCGCCACAACCAGTACTTGTACTTCCCTACATTAGAGGATTATCGGAAAGGATAAGAAGGATTGGGTCCAAGTATAACATCAGGACCTTCTTCAGATCTGGGAACACTATCCGTAGCAGCCTCACGAAAACCAGGCCACCAAACGCGGACTGCGATTCCAAGAATTGCAATTACCGGATACCCTGCGAGTGCGAAGAATCATACATCGGTGAAACTAAGAGGCCATTGAAAGTTCGCATTGCTGAGCACAAGAAACACAGACAGCGAGGAGAAACCAGCAAATCCGGAATAGCAGAGCATGTTTGGGCTCATCTCCATAATATCAAGTGGGCTCAAGCTGAAATTATCCACAAAGAGGAACACTGGTTTAGGAAAAAATTCAAAGAAGCAGCGAATATGTTGTCCAACAACGCATTTAGTCAGGCTAGCGTAGAGATACATAACATATAATCTGTAAATAACAGTTCGATTTATGTGAGAAAAATGAACACTTTTCAATACTTTCTATCTTCAAATGTTATTAATGTTGTTACTTGGACGAAAACAAAAGGGGTGTATTGACAATGTCAGTTCAACAATTCAAAACCTCAAATCCGGGGTCCCACAAGGCTCTATATCAGAACCACTTCTGTTTTCTTTGTATACCTCAACAATTCTGAAATTTCTTGAACATCGCACTGCTCGCTGATGAGCCGAGGATACCCAGATTTATTAAAGTTTTTATCTAGGAGATATGGAAACGGACTGTAATTTCATTAATGCAGATCTTCACGAGATAAATTAAAGTAACATAATGTTATTTGGCCCAAAAAACAATTTACCGTTTTCTCAAGACATCAAAATTACTATTGATAATTGATAGTGACCAATTAGCTCTTGTAGAACACAAAAAACCTTGGTGTAGAGATAGACTGTAATTTAAGATTCGAAAAACACATAAGTAAACTTGTTCAGAGATCTTATCTTTACCTGAAAACATTTAATGGAGTCAGACATTTTTTTTGACGGATATAAAACTACTTCTGTGTGAATCGTTAGTATTATCTTATTTTTAATTTTACCGACTTCGTTTACGGTCCTAACTTTTGCCTAAGACTCATGCATGGTGTTCGTAGACGTGAAAGAATTTCAAATTAGCTCATTACTACAGGATTATTGAATAGAACTGGCATATACTTGACGAAAATCCATATTAAAACTAATTAATACAGTTTATTGTATGATTTTCACTACAAAGGGTTTTACAAAAACCGCCACACGTGTTTCGCTATACAATAACTTCCTCAAGTGCTTGAGGAATGTGTGACATATCGTCTTCACAACGAGTATGAATAGCTCATATAGTCTGGCCAATATACTTTTGTCACAAAATTATCAGAGGAGTATTTTCATTAAATTCATTGTAGGTCATATGTGCCAGTTTTACCTTTTTGTAGGGATTGTCAATTTATCAAAAAGTGACTTTCAGAATGACGAGAAAAAAATAAAGTATGTTTGCAATGAGTATTGTCACATGGTATTTTGTTTTCTTTAAAGTTTTCTAGACGATTCCACTTTTGATTCTAAACCCGTAAAAATGTTTGGCAAAGAAACTCATTCCGTGACATAAAAATCGTTATTCATGAAATAATTGTGTATTTTTTCTCATAATGTTATCCAAATTGGTATTATAGAGCTCTAAAGCAAGTGTCTTAAGGGGAAACATTGATGTCTACCAGTGAGCATGACAGTGTTCCACGTAAGTGGAACACTTACCATTCATTTAGTATATTGTGTAGAAATCCTGTGAATGATATCTGATTTAGTTCAATAACAAATGTTTGAAATACAAACTGACTAGAGGAAAATGTTTTCTGTATAATTCTGTGTTCATATAAAAGTATTTGTTTCGAAATAATTTTTCTTTCGTGTAATTCGATGCTTATATGAAAGTAGCGGTTTTTCCCAATTTGTGTCTAAAAGGTAATTATTTGCATGATCTACACATCTATGTATAAAGTTACTTCTTTCAAAACTGATTACTTCCTTTCTTCTCTTTGGAAGGTTCCCACATTTTTCTGTATCAAGATGGAGTAGTAGAAAGCCAAAAACTTTCTCTCCCAAAAATTAGTCACTCCTAAAAATATAACCCTATTGAATTAAACCGTATTAGTTTGTTTTACAATTTTTAGGCAGAAAAATACTATCGTTTCAATTGTATTTCTATTGTTTTTTCCGAATAAAGTATCATACTATCTAATAGAAAATCCGAATACGAAACAAACGAACAAATTCTAGATTCTGAAACTTACTGTTCCATTTGTGTGATTACACATATCCCATAATGGTATCAAGGCATTTATCATGCACTGACCATCTTCAGAAGGAATTGTATTCTGTCTTGTCATCACCGTAGACACTGCCCAGCTGCAAAAAAACAAAACTTTGACATCATAAAAATTCTCGTTGGTCCAGCATCATCAATGCTCTTTATAAAACCTACAGTACCGTGTTTCCTTTGAGTTGCTTTTATTTCTCTTAATATTGTTGTTTCACGACTCAAATGGTATATTTCAATTACTTTGATGCGACGGTATATTTCCTTTCTCAATTTCCAGACAAAATAAATAACTTTTATCATAACTAAATTTAACTAAACTCTCTAAAATTCACACCGCTAAGTATATCGTTTATGAAAGACAGGAAATTCCTGAACCAGGTACATGGGGAATAGTTAAAACATATTAATCAATCTGATATTAGTCTGTTCGAAAGCTTTTAGCACATAGAGATAAAGTTATTTATAATGTTATTGGAGAAAATGAACAATAAAATCCAACTTCATGTAGGTATTGAAGAAATCGAGCTGCAAGGTAAATAGAAGAATATCGAGTATCCTTCTTTTTTGTTTTACATAATAGAGTCAATCAGTAACCAAACAAGTGGATGACATTGTTTCTTTCGGGTATTCTCCCATGATGAAACCAGAATAAGATTAAAACTTTTCTCTAAAATCTCCACTACTTTCACCATCTATTATCATGCAAATTCATCACATTCTTATATTTAATCCCGCACACTGATGGATGAAATGAAAATAAACTTGTGAAGGGCAATGACAAATGATGACCTTGAACCTCGTTTATATGCATAAATATCCATTCATAACTTCTGTTTTAATGATATGCTCATAGTGCCGTGGAAAGTGAATGTTTCAATTGTTCGTGTTAAATGTTTTTAAATATTTCGTGTGTAGCATGAAAGCATGGGAAATTATGTGAACAATATAAATTATTGAAAAGGTTGTACATGTGAGATGTGAAACGAAAATTTATCGCTTTTTGAAAATAAATTATCTACGGTATGATTCCGTATACAGTGCCACCATTAAAGTGCGCACCATGTGGAAAACTTTTTTTTCGAAAAGTTTCAATGAAGTTTAACTTCGGCACTTGTTTGTGCTTTAATTTTAACTTAAAATGATGCGGCCAACTGCGACCCACTGACGTTCAGTGTTTGTCAAATTCAACTTTTTTTTGAAAAAAATTGAAAAAGTGCAATCGGCGCGTTTTCGGACCTTCCCTTAAACTTTCTAGGCAAAAATACGAATCGAATGACACCTTGGTCGTAATTTTTGGACAGGGCTGAAAAATGTCACCAAAAAGAGCTAAATCGAGTACATGTGAACCAGAAAAATACAAGTGGTACAAAAACATAGAAAGTTTGATTACTTATTTTTCATGATATTCATTTTTTTACTACTATTTGGAAATACTGATAAACATAAATTCCAAAATGGATATTTCAAATACCAGTCTGTTTTGATTGTTAATACTTAGGAGGCTTTGCATCCTGCTGTGTTTACAATCTCTAGTCAAAACATCATTTTGGTAAATCTCTAAAAATGCTTTACGAGCACGAAAAGCGGTTTTTGACAACAAAATAGCAACTCTGTTGAAGTAATTACTGTAAAACGAAAATCGACCAGTCAAGCTTTCTCAATCTTTTCAATTATTGTAATTCATGCAATTACACACAGACATTATTTCAAACACCTCCGAACATAATCGTGTGAATACAAATTGAAACTAAAGCTTCGTCAAGATTCCGCATGCATAAATTCCAATAACTGAAAAAGAAAGTACAGAAAAAGTGAAACCATTCATTGTTCGTCTGGAAGTTTTGTAAACACTAAAAGTCCACGGAATGAATTCAAATGCCTTCTTTTGCATATATTATTGAATCGCAAATCCAAATCCACCTCAATGTGAAAAATCGGTAAAGGATTCTCGATTACGTAACCCAAGTAATAAAAAGAAGAATAATACAGTGTAATCTGAACTAATTATAGGTGGTGTATAGTAAAACAGTAGAACGAAATAATCTTAATTAAATTTATATTTTTTTGCCAAATATAATAATGAACTCGTGAAAGCTTGAAAATGAATATGATGGATATCCGGAAATGTTATATTAGGATTAATAACTAGCTAATGATGTAATTCATACTGTTATTATTGAGTTCCGTGGAATTTATCTACGGATTTATAAGATACACTTATAATATTGAGTGGTAAAAGGTAAAATTATTTTCGAAATATATGAAGAATTAGCCGATACTTTATTGTGAAATTTTCAATAAATAGTTTACAAAACCGTAACGTAATTCAAATGAAGAAGCGAACTACTCTGAAAATTCTACAATGGAAGGGTTACCATCGACTGGAGAAAGTACTGTGTGAAAAAAAAGTTAAATGAATATCTGAGTCTAATCTATACTATCTGAGTTTGTGGAAAATGGAAAAAATGAATATAATATAAGAAATCTAGAGGAAAACGCGGTTAAACGCCTGTCAACCGACGAGGATGTTATTAATAATTAAAAATAGAAATCGTGGTCGCGAGACACCGATCGACACACGCCATATGTCCGATTCACTAATAATTTCCATTTCCACGACTTGGTTTCGTTTATGGTAATTTGCACACCGTCTTGATAGCGATACGTTTTGATCCGTGGGACAGAGCATAATGACACGGGTATAAAAAATAAATATTTGAGAGAATCAATGAGCTTGTTTCATGATTTTTGATTTATAGTTCACTTGATAGAAATTTCAAATTGAAAAA